CACCATAAAAATATTTTTTTTTAAATTTTTATCAAAAACTGCACTGTCAAAATATTCACTCACGATTAGTAAAATGACCATAAGATGATGATAAATTTAAGTATTTCGAACTATTTTTTTTCCAAAAGATAGCTCTCGTTGTGCCCTACAAAAAAGTATACTTCGATCAAATTTATACATATAAGTTTGTAATAGATATAATCAATTTACTGAGGAGGAGCGAAACTTTTGGACCACCTTTATACTTCTGAGTAATGCACTGAAAATAATTGTTCTACAAATAATTTTCTTTAATTAAGATTTCATGTTACAGAAGAAAAACATAAGAAATGCGTTATCTTGTTGAATATTGTTATTGAATCCATTAAAAAAATAAGAAATTTCTTTTTTTCTTCGAAGTTCGCACTGATTCAGCGTGTTGCTAATCATCAAGTAATTGGAAAAAATAAAATGAGGAGAAATCAGGAGAAAATCGTACAAATCAGCTCCTGAAACCAGGAGATCTTTCATCAGGAGAAAATCGAGAAAATCAGGAGACTTCTGCCAAAATCAGGAGGTTTGACAAGCCTGGTATTCAGAGAACATAGAAATTAAGTGACAGAGCTGCCAAGAGGCTACTTTTGTGGGTTCGGCCTGGTCTGACCTAGCTTAAAGGATTTTAGGAGAACCGAACAAAAGACGCTTAGTGAATACTTTTACTAGATTTGTGAATGCAATGGCACAATATGCATCAAACATTTTTTTGTCATTTTCTCGTACTAGTCTCAATCATATGTTTAGTACTTCTCAATTAAGGCAATGAAATTACAAACACTTCCACTAAATAGAAAATCAAAACATGCAGAATTGGATGAAAAAAGTCATATTGTTTATACAAAGAACTGCTCTCAAATCAGCTCTAATTCTATCAGCGCTGTCGCACAACAAAAAAAATGTGCTTCGTCAGAAAGAAATCATACAAATCGAAAACAGAAAATACTATTGATGCTGATCACAAACATTTGCTTCTTATCTTTGTCTACTCAATAATATCGAGTTGAATTGCATTACTAGTCAGCTCCATTTCTGCTATGTATTCATTTTCATTGTCTGTTAAGACACGTTCTAATTCAATCATAAGCTTATATGACACTGCAAACAAAGCCGATTTAGTGGAAAAGAATCATCTATCATCAAGAATATATGCGATCTTGTAAGTCGGCTTACACGTTCAAAGTCAGATGTTATTTTGAATCTTCGTAGTTAAAGCTAAACTAAAGTTGATAGGAAAAAGTTCACATCATTCCCATACATCACTGTCATTCATCACAGTATAGATTGAAGCGATACATTTAGAACTCCATGTGCGACAAGACAGGCGTAAAATGGTGAAAGTCGGAACATGCAACAAGCGATCATGTTACTTAAAATTGACCAAAAGTTCGGACCATTGCATTTTAAATTTTATAAAACACTTAGTATAGAAGGTTTTCTTACATGAATGCAAAAAGGAGTGCCTCACCTATTAGAATATACATAACATCTCTATCTAGGATTTTATTCTAACTTTCATTTAGATAAAGTCTACTTATGACTGACCAAAAGTTCTGACAACATTAAATAAAAATGTAAAAAGAAAAAGATATTATTAGTTTATATTATAAAATACTAAAAATAGTCACCAGTATTATTTATAGAAAGTTTCATCCTTTCTGACAGTTGGTCCGAAGTTCTTTAAACTCTTTTTCGGCAATAAATTTTACCCTCTTAGAAACCTCGGAAGCGCTCGATTCTTCGTTTTCTTGATCAGTCAAATATTCGCATAGTCACTATATTGTAGACTTTATCTAAAAGAATGCTAGAATTGAATCCAACATAGAATTATTATATGCATTATTATAGACGAGACACCTTACTACGTATGCACGTAATCAAACTTTCGATGCTAAGTCTTTTATAAAATTAGAAACACTATGGTCCGAGATTTTAGTTAATCCTAAGTAGAATTAAAGTAGGCCACTTTTATTTTGATTATCAGAGTTAAAAGTAAAGCTTAACTTCAATAAATTTACTAAAGTATTTTAAAAATGCAATATCTCGCCTAATTGCAATCGATCAAAACACCTAAAATTTGATTATGTGTCATTCAGACTACAAACTTCGGCCTGATCTGACTTAATCTCATCCGAGCAAGAGCAGGTCAGGCTACTATTTCAAAACTCAGCGTGGGGATCTGACGGGCGCCTGTAGACTACCAGATCACACTGGCAGCTCTGATCATAGTCGCATGAATCATCTGTTCATAATTCATTTCATGTCAATGAACTGCTGCACGAAAGTTTTTCTTTTTCAGTACTTAATTATTATTTTTTTTTCTCTCGAGTTAAATAATTAATTGATGGGCATATTCGTTTATATATGAATGAACCAATCAATCAGTTGTGAACTTCTTTTCAAAAACAAAATAGTCTTTTCCAATCGTATATAAAGTTATAGCTTTCAATTTATTCATTTATTATTATTTTTTCTCTCATCAATTGTATGAATTATTTATATGCATAAATGAATGTCTCTTTCTATGTCAAATGTAACACTAATTCAAAGAAAGACAGAAATAAATCATTACATTGATAAGTATCCTTGTCTGCATGCAATGAATTATTGGTACATTGAAACACAAAAAAATTATTCATTGCATTAGTCAAAGGATTTTCTTTTCTGTTTTATAGAAGCCCGTCGAATGGTTCTATGTTCGACGCAGAGAAACTCTCCTTAGCAAAACACAAACTATACGATGAAGGTCTTTTATCTACAATACATGTTCATCATTAGGATATGTATTGATTACTTCACGGGTAGACATCGTCCAATTGTATTCTCAAGAAGACAGAGTTTCTTTGTTCGCACCCGTCTCGTCAAGGCAAAACAAAAGAAAAATACTCTTTTTTCTTCATTACATTTATCTCTTTGAACAATATAAAACAAATTACAATTTCAATGCTCTTTCTTACACCCTTAAGATGAGGATGATCAGGTGGTAGTGAACGTTGTTGAATATCAAGAGCACGCTCATAAAATGAAACTGCATTGGGATAGTTACCCATGTTTCTATAAACCCACCCAATTTTGTTGTAAGAAGTAGCTAACCTCGGATGATTTGAAGGTAGAGTTTTTTGTTTGATTTCCAGTGCTTCTTGATAATATGAAAGTGCATTTGAATAGTCATCCATCTTGGAATACACCGAACCAATATCGTTGTAAGAAGCAGCCAAATCGGCATCCGTTGATGAAAGAATCTTTTGTTTGATTTCAATGGATTGTTTATAATAGGCAATGGCATTTACATATTCACCTTGATCCGCCTTCACCCATCCGAGTTGGTGATAATTAAATGCCTTTTCTCGATCCGTCGTTGCTTTATCAAGCAATATATCATATACTACTTGAGCTTTGTTGAACTGTCCAAGTTTAATTAACAACATACCTAAACGACCCCATCCTTTCGCATTAGGATAAGTTTCTTTGCGCATGCTCTCAGTAAGTGCATGCAACTCTAGATCATTGTCACTGGTACAATATTAAATCGATCTGCCAAAGACGATTATTCCCATTTATTTGTTTCATTGACCCAATTCGAAAAATTGAATGCATGGCGAAGAGAATTTCTTCTTCTCCTTCGAAATAACTCACATTACGGGTGTCAGCAAATGGTGTTAAGGAGATAGATGGATCAATTTTCATGACGAATAAAATACCAATAAGATCGGACGATTCCATAGTTTCACGAGCAAAGTTGAGAGATACTTGACTATGCATACTAGTCGATAAAAAATTATTAAATGGTAAAAGTTCACCCTGTGTCTTTTGCATTTGATCAAAGGCAGCCTTCGACATTCCTTGACCACGATAAACAGTGAACGGTTTCGTATGTACTTGCTCAACATATTGTTCCTTATGAGACTTGACAATATGTTTATGAAGATCACGGATGAAAAATCCTATGCTAATGATGAAATCGATCTCCATCATTCGTAATGACCGGTTGAGCATTGAATAGAGAAAACATTGATAGGTATACCACTAAATTGGAAGATGTTTGTGATATTCTTGCTCGATTTTTTTGACATGATGAAGTTCATTTGGATTGTCAGTGAAAACATCTCGACACTAGGTAATAAATTCATCGAAGTGTTTTTGCTGAAAATCAATGGTTAATAGAATTTCTTTTCATAATCTGTGTGTACATGAATGAAGAATCTAACTGATCGATATTCTGCTTGGTAGTCCCACTAGCAGTGGCAACGAAACTAAGTTTTTGTCACATTCATATGCTGCTTGTTGAAGGGCTTTGCAGATAGGAGCAATATCTATAAAGACTCCTTTTATTTTTGGCCACTGTTTGGTCCATTGTTCATGCCGTGCTTGGTTTTCACAAAATATATAAATTGTACTGACCTGAGGCATGTCATGTACAATGGGAACTGTAGTTTGTTCCAGTGTGCCAGAAGAAATTATAAATATTTTGTCTTCTTTAAGATCACTGATAAAATTGATGCATTTATCGACATCCGTGAATATATTGACGTTATTAACCACTTCTTTTAGTTTTGAAATTGTATGCTTGCAATCTTTGTTATTTTCTGGAGCAATACTACTGTGGAGCCAGAAGTTCTGAACCATACGAGTAAAAGCAGGCCGTTGTTGTCGACTTCTTCTTTTTGTCCATGATGTGCGTGGCGTTTAATCAACGAAAACAAAATAAAATGAATTGAACTTAAATAGTATATTGGAGTTTCTTTTTTGTAGATGTTTCTATTTGTTTTTGAATATTGTTGTCGTTGGTGTTCTATTTGTTTTTCATTTCACTCAAGTACTTCACTTCTTTTTTTTATCAGTTGTTGTCTCTGATGTTACAAGATAACGAACGAGTGAAAAAAATTCTTTCGAACATAATTAGATACACCGTGTCATATTTCATTTTATTTTTATTATGTCTGGAAGTTTTTTTCTTTGGTTCATATATTGTCGTAAATGAATTTGTACATAGAAACAGTACAGTGCACATTGTTGTTGGAAAATCTCAATATATATCATCTTTAATATTTTTCTACAGTTACTGAATTATGTCGTTGTAATTTATATTGATTTTCAAAATTAATTCATTTTCTATAGTCATTTCAAGACTCGAACTGTATTCATCGTTTATGAAATAACAAAATTTTCAAATTGATCAAAATGTCAAACTCAGCGAAAAAACATGTTTCGATATTGTACAGAGCAGAATGATGAGTTGATGCATGTTTAATTATATAAACCACAAATAGTTTCATGCTAACTCTAAATGAATAGATATTGTATCAAGAGTCCATGAAATTCATGATAAACTGACGTAAGACGATTCGCAACTAAGTTTTTATTCATTTTCATTGACTTCTTTTAATCTCCAATTTGTTGCGATTCTCTATCGCTGAAAGTAATAGAATGCAGTTGTCAAGAAAAATATATGTGCAATAGATTGCATATATGATAGAATTGCTATAAAAGACTCCTAATAGATCGTCCTATATAAAACAATTTTTCAAGAGAATTTCTATCGCGAATCATTACTATAGAGTACTTCGAACCGTAGTAATATTTTTCTTGGTTTAAATCTAACACTCTATTCACAGTGGGGAGCCAGGCGGACATATGCGAAAATATTCTTTTTCAGAATCTAATCGTTTGCGCAGATACATGCATATGTGATCTATCATTTTCTAAAATAGTGGTTCTCAAAGTTTTATA